CACACACACACACACACACACACACACACACACACACACACACACACACAAGCGCTCATCTGTGAATCCAACAAGACCGACAGGACAGGACTACCACCAAACAAAACCACACCACTGGCTCCTTGTCTTGCCCCTATCCATCAAATATTTCCCCCACATAATTCTATAAAATGAATGAGGAGGGAGCTGCAGAATGAGGTTGATGAGACCTGTGGAGAGGAAGCCTTTGCTCTCAGGAACAGGCTGGAAAACCAGGGCCCAAGAGGGAGGCTAAACAGCCAGCCGCAGAGTACAGACTCACACTGGACAGAGTCTGGAAGCATGGTGTGTCGATCCCACAGCACAGCATGAGGTCATCGGTTAAGTGTCGCTCGTCATTTCGGCTTCGGCTGATTCACATCAAACACTGACATGGAAATAGTAACTCATTTCAGTCGGGACTCTGTGGGAGCCAGGACTGACTGGTCATGGCTGTGGAATGCTGAGACAGATAACCCAGGCATCTGATGGGCTCGTGCCATGTTTCGGGCGGCCCAGAAACTGTGGGACCATCACTGCCTGACAGTCTGTGGGTGTCACAGAGCAGCAACCTCAAGGGTGGTGCAGTTTCTGCTAACAGGTCACACTCCTTATTCTCCATGGAGGAGGGGGGGAGGAGGGGGAGGAGGAAGAGGGGGAGGAGGAGGAGGGGAAGAGGGGGAGGCAGTAGCCCCGAGCTATCTCAACTACAGAACTCGCTTTGAAGGGCTTGTCTCTAAACACTGGACAGACAAGAAGCACAGCCTCATGAAAGGAAAGATTTTTCTAAGCAAAGCCCTCTGCTCCCCCAAATCAGCAGACACTTAGAGTTTTGTAAAACCTGTGGGTTCCCTGCAGTGCCCAGACTACACACGGTGGTAGATGAATGTCTTTAGAATCCGTAATGAAGCTGATGACGTGTGTGTGGACTTTCAGCAGTGAGGTGCGACGCTCCAGTGAAAAAGAAAGGCACAGGACCATGCCTCCTCCCGACTGCCCCACCCCATGAGGTCTCTTCTCTCACGGGCTGAGAGCAGTCATCACTTCAGACAACAGGAGGGGCCGTGGTGCCCACACTGGGACCCTGTGAACCAAAAGGTACACGGAGCCGGCAAAAGTCTGTCCTGACCGGACAGTAGGGAAGGACTTGGTAGAGGAGCCGGCGCCCACCTCTGAGCCCCTCACGACTGTGAGAGCAGACACTGCACACCAAACAGGGCAGAGACACTACGGAGCAAACAGTGCACCCTTCAAAGACAGGCGGGTGAGCCTGAAACAGACGTGGAAACCACCCTTAGAAGTCCGCCAGCAGCTTAAAGCCAAATTGTTTATGACTGCATCTGCACTGAGCAGACTTGTAAATAGATACAAGGGTTCCAGGAGAAATAATGAGTGTATTCTCCACACAAAGAACCCAGGTGTTCCTCCACCTTCCCACACCCGACACAGGAGCCACTCTCGGGAGGGATCCTGGCTTAGGCTGTGGCCAAGACACTCTGGGATGTTTTGGACACAAAGCACTATTGAGAACACTCAGGAACGAGGAGCAAGCAACCACTGACCAAGTAACCACCTTCACCGCTGAGAACGCCTACAGTGGTGAGGACCAACCGAAGGACATGTGGAGTCCACCCCACCCGCACTGAAGACCGGCCAGGCTGGAGAGCACGGACACAGGCTGAGGCGCCTGCAATCACTGTCACTGCAGGATGCACGAAGTCACAATGATGCCTACTCCCTCACTCATCTCTCATTCCCACATCTGGAGTCAGGCAGTAGACCCCACGGCCAAATAAAAACACGGACCTCAGCTTCCGGACAGCACAGGCAGCTGCTGATGTTCTCATCTAAATCATGCCTTACGAGGTTTCAGGCTGTTCCCTGGACATGTACGGCTGTGGAAGGCAGGAAGGTTTGGGGCGGACAGTGGTTATCGGGGATGAAGGAAATGTCGGCAATGGCACCGTGGTTTTATCAGCACACAATCCCTAGAGAGGTGCAGTGCTCCCCTAAGCCCGACGGACAGCCAAGCTTGCCTTTTCTTACTTTGAACGTTAAAATGTAAAACTATCTCAATAAAACTCTTGGTGCTGGGCACGGTGGTGCACCCCTATAATCCTAACTCTAAGAAAGGTGTGGCGGTAAGATGGCCGCTAGCTAGAGGCTAATTTGGTCGTCATAGTGAATTCCAGGCCAGCCAAGCCTGTCTCCATTGACAAGAACAGGTCACTCCCTTCCCCAACTTCTTGCTACCATCCACCCCTCCAACTTCAAATATCTGGGATTGCTTGGAGTCTGAGCCCAGAGTTCCAACTAGAACTTCAGCTAACCCACCAGCTACTGGGTCCTGGGACAAGAACCACGCTGAGCCTGACCCCAAGCCCCACTTAAGAGACTCCCTGAAGTTGGGAACAAAAGCCTACCCCTAGCCAAGAAGCTATTTGCACCTGATAGTTGCTGGAAGAGGAAAAATCAGTTTCTTCAATGGAATGACACTGGGTATACCAACCCACGCTCCAGGGCAGTTGGCCAAAGCAAAAGGGATTTCATGGTTGTGTGTGTGTGTGTGTGTGTGTGTGTGTGTGTGTGTGTGTGTGTGTGTGTGTGTGTGTGTCTGCACTCATGAGCACACTTCTGTTTTGCTTTTGTTTTTTGAGAGAAAGAGTGAGCATGAAGTTGGGTGAGGAAGGGTTCCGGGAAAGAATTAGGAAGGAGAATATGATCAAGATGTTGTACGAACTTCTCAAAAAATAAACAAAAGAAAATGCCCAAATCAAAAATCTCTCAGCTGACTAAATTCACCCAAATCCTTACTAATGACTAGAACTGCTTTCTAGGTCACAAAGACTAAAGATTGCGCATAAGGCCTTATAAGAGAAGGGCTGACAAATCCTGTGGCTTTCCACCAGACTCATGTACAGTTGCAAGGAGATAAATCCTATCAACAACGGCTTGGAAGCTGGATGAGTCCCTGATGGGAGCAGAGCTCAAGCCAATGCCTACATTATGGGCAGGTAAGAGCCTGAAGCAGAAAACCCAGGCCTGCAGAGCCTAGACTTCCGACTTTCACAAACTGTGAGTTAATAAATGCGACGGACTGTCTTTTTGGTGTGTTGTTTTAAGTGAGAACTCTTTAATTTCTCAAGTGTCTCTTTAGACATCAACCAACTGGCAGACTCTCAATGGGGAGGGAACAGAAATTCAGGACCGATCCACACCATCTGGAGCCCTACACTTTCTCTGTAACTCACGCCATTCCTCACTCCTCCTTCAGTCCATAGCAAGAGATACGAAGCCAGCTGATGGTGGCTTCCCAGAGCGAGCCATGTGGCTCTGAAGGGCAGGCCTGCTCTCCCACCAGGAAAATCTCTGAGGCTTCTCCCATGTGTGAGCTAGCTAATAAACTCTCCACACCACCATCTGCTTTGCTAGGAAAGAACTTAGAAGCATTAGAAACAGATCTGTGCAAGAGAAAAGGCAATCACATGCATCATGTACGAAGTCGGGAAGCATTCTAAGCATCTTGGTTACATCTGTCGAATGGAAATTTTCAAAGCAGCAGTAACTTCATTAATCTGAATAGTGATCTCTCTTCCCACCTTCAGGCCTCCTCCCCTGACCAACGGAGAGGGACTATGGACTGCATTCAGTAGTTTATATGGGGCTGTGAGACCCGAGTTCTACCCTCATTCCACAAGGCAGAGCAAATACTACTTCCCTACTGAGCCAGCCAGGCTTCCCGTGGCAATGGGACCGCTGCCTGGCTCCTCTGGCAGGCATCAAAGGAGGATCAGGTAGGTCTGGACACGTGCAAACCCAACGCCCTACTAAGGCATTTCCACCGACGTTTCTCAAGCGCGTGGTAACTGCTGCTCTAACTCAAAATGAGTCGCTTTTATTGCTTCCAGGGAAGTTTTACTACTCATTTGGCAATCTGAAAAGGCTTTAAGCTCCAAATGTCTCGTGACAAAATAAAACAGGACTACACGCATCACCAGTCATTCTTGAGACAATCGGGCCCCAGCAGGGCCGAGACACCACGCAAGCTGCCCCTGAATACAAACAGTGGAAGCATAATTACCTGTTTCTCCCCACAAGGTGTCGGTGCCATTGACTTCGATTCCGTGTTCCTCTGCCATTCCCAGCAAGCACTGGACTACCTGTCAGACGTGGCAAGGTGATTTAATGAGCTCTCGGAGCAATGGGTGCTTATTATAGCCCATATATCAAAGGGGAGAGTGTTGTTTTTTAACCATTATTATCGTGTGCTGCACAAGTAGAGAAAATAGAAGGAAAACCATTTGCAAGCATAATTCGTAGGCTATTCACACTTTCACTTGGAGAATTAAAAAAATAAAACAACCTCAGTGCATTTCAGCAACTCTGCTCGGGATTACCAGGTACTCAGAATTCTAATGAATTCCGACATGACCCAAATATGCCAACGTAATCAACAAAGGGCCCAGCAGATCACAGAAAGTGCAGCTTCTGCATAAATCACCATTAGTGCATTCCTCACAAGGAAGAAAAACAAGGTGATAGATACTTGTTACAGTAAAAAATTTCTTCTTTTGGTATTATCCAAATGATTTTTCCTCTGACAGCACGGTCCCTCTCCCTTCTGGGCATCTTCCCATCCAGGAGCAGAGCAGGTCACAAGCTAGAGGCAGGAAAGCTTGCTCTTGGGGAGAGATGAAGTAGCTGTGCCCTGGACCAGAGCCAGCATCATCCTGAATGATGGGAGAGTACGACAAAGCCATTTTCCAAGCTCCCAATCTGTATTGTTTGCGGTCTGCTGACTGGGTCTCCTCCTAATCCCCAGAAGCTCTGGATGCTCCTTGAATGGCAGGAGGAAATCACAGACCTTGAAATGGAGTGATTATGTGGAGCTGTCTGGGTATACAGTCTGTCACAAACCTCGTACCACCACCACCACAATATCCGTAAGGATGGGACAGGAGGAATCTGGGTCAGAGCAGGAAGGCATAGGTAGGGACACCCAGCGGGGTCGTGTACCCCAAAGATAGAAGAAGCAGGTCTGAGCTAAGGAAGGCAGTGGCTTCTAGAAGCTACGAAAGCCAAGAAAGGCTCTCTCCTGCAGCCTTCAGTGAGAAGTCTGGCCTCTTCTCACCTTGAATTTAGATTTCTGACCTCCAGAGGTTTAAGATTCAGTGTGTGCTGTGTTTTAGTCGCTGACAGTGTGGCTACTTGCTGTGATAACATGAGGAAATTAATATCCTCTTTGGGACTTTTAACTAAGAAATCTTGCTTTTCTGCTTGAAATGGTTATTGGTTGTGCGGAGGTAGTTTCTGTTCCGTGTTCTCCAGGCCAGCTCCTAAGTGGTGGGCATGAGTTAAGAGAAGGATCGCTTCCAAACACAGGGGGGGGGGGGGGGGGCAGGCATATGTGTCATGCGTGGGTGTGCATGTGCTCACAGACCTCCTAGTGATGACGTGTAGGAGCTACTCATTCCGACAGGTGAGGGAGGAGGCAGAGCACAGTGTCCCACGTCTGTGATCCCAGCACTTGGGAGGGAGGGTCAGGAAGACAGAGTTAGAGTAACTAGACTATGTGGGGCCTTGTTTTAAAAAACCAAGACAAATAAAATAGGAAACCATCTACATTTCCAGATGTGTGTATTTAACACTGTAGTTTAGGCATGCCAAATGTTAGCCAGCAGTAATGCATGCTTATATGTATATCCGCCATCGTGTATAAGTGCCAAATACCAGTCAGCCAGCTTGGCAGTCAAATTTCAGTCATTTGGGAAAGAATATTACCAAACACTGGCACCTCCAATTGCTTAAAGATACCCAAGAGAGGGACACACACAGCAAAGTGGGAGCAAATGCCGCTATATCCACAGCCAAAGCAGGGACACAGGCCAGCTGACGGCAATCAAATCTTCAAACCTAAAGCTAGTGACATCCATTAGAAAGAAACGCTGTGCTGAATCTCCCCTTTGGTGCAGGAAATTCGAACAATGGGCATGCTCCCAGGCTCTCAGCGCACCCAAGCCCCATTTTTAAAAACTCTTCTTCACACACTCAAGAATGACTTTAACTAGGGTTCCATGCAATCATTTTCTTTTTTTTTTTTTTTTTTTTGGTTTTTTGAGACAGGGTTTCTCTGTGTAGCTTTGCGCCTTTCCTGGGACTCACTTGGTAGCCCAGGCTGGCCTTGAACTCACAGAGATCCGCCTGGCTCTGCCTCCTGAGTGCTGGGATTAAAGGCGTGCACCACCACCGCCCAGCTGCGATCATTTTCTAAAGGTTATAAGGACAAAAGAAGGCGCCAACGGGGCTGGGCAGAAAGAGAGCAAGGCAGAGGAGAGGAAGGAAGAACCAGAGAAAACCGTGAACACCCACCAGAGCTCCTGAGTGGGAAGGAAGCGCTCTGCTCGTCCCACGCACATGAGACCATGGGCCTCACTCCCAGCAGGGTAGAGTATCACTGGAAGCCCTTCATTAAGCAAGGTCAGCAGCTACTTCCTGAAACCTCCGCTTCCTCTTGTTACCATAGCTCCCCACTTAGAAGGCTGTGGCGACCCGACAGCTGATTGATGGGCTACAGCATTTCGTCCCTCAGGAAGCAAGCCCAGAGCCCCACTCACCGAGCTGTGGCCCATGCTGGCGGCTGCTGTCAGTGCCTGCTGCAGGGCTTGGCTCTTCCTCAGCGTGCCAGGCTGGGGAGGACCTGATGACCACTCACAGTTCAGCAGGTACTGGAGAATGTCACTGTGGCCCCGCAGCGCGCTGTGGACGAGTGCACACTGACCCTTCTTATCCAAGTGGTCTACCTGGGGAGCAGAAGCAGGGCACCAGGTGAGCATCCCCTCTGCGCCGAGAACATGACTGCCCTGTGAAGGCTATCAGCAGACTCACACGGCTTCAAAAGGACAAGGGTTCACATTCCGACTTGTCTTTCTGGACAGCACTGGACCTTTGCCTCCCTTCATTGTGATAAGGACGCTCATCCAGGCCCCAGGTTCCCTTTGCACGACTGGCAACCACAAGACAGTCTCCTCACGCACACATCTCTCAGCAAACTACACAGAGCTCAAAGGCTGAACCCTCAGACAACGTCCGATGCTTCCCAGTGGGGGTACTTAGATGAAGTAATTTCAGGCTGCTCTGAGACTTGTGGTCACTGAACCAGGGAGCCAAAGAAAGGGAAGACTCTAGAGATCACAGATCTAAAGGATGCAGGACAGAAAGGGGAATGTGCAGGTAGATGACCAGGGACACACTGGCTTATAAATCAAAGTCACAAAGCCGGGAGACGCCAGCTAGTCAGAAGACATTCGTGAGTGCTGCACACCTCCTAAGGGCCTGATGGTGGCAGGCACCCCAGCATTCCTTATCTAAACGTGGGAGTCCTAGGACTGAAGAAGAGCCCAGGGCCCAGCTCTGCTGCCTCGTCACGGGGAAACTCTGCAAGAGTCCCCAACGTGACAGCTAGCCTCTTCCTGCAAGCTTCCAGATGTGACAGAGGCGGCGCCACTGGCCTCAGCGGACAGCTGAGAGACAGCTGCGATCCAGAGATTGGGGCATGTGCCACTCATCAGTTAGGCATGCACCCCAACACTGGAGCGGAGCTTCAGATGCCCCACATGTTGGACTTTGAAGAAAAGCAAACAAACAAAACAAACAACATTTCTGGACCTACTAGAAGCCTGACTTCACTAAACTGGCGAAAGACTATTCGCAGTGCTTCCCACTGTGACTCGACAGGCTCATCATCTGCCTGTGCCATGCGTCTGTGCGCACAGGAAGCCAAAGGGGGCTGAGGCTGAGCTTGGCGTCCATCTCGCTCATCTAGGAGCCTGGCAGTTCCACCCGAATGTGTCAGGTAGCAGGCAGTTATCTCACGGTAATAGCCAGAGGCTGGTGGGAGGCTCACGCCGCTGTCACGGCACACTTCCTGGGATTCCGCGGACAGCTGAGAAATGTGGCCCTGGAAAGCCCAGGGTTCCAGGTGGGAAAAGGAAAAACGGTTTCAGGCAGTTCCCACAGCTCCGGCATGTGACGTCTAAGAAGCAGAGACCTCACGGGATTGCTTTAAAAGAATCATGAAATGAAATAGGACGAGAAGGGGGAGCTGGGGGTGGTGTGAGGTAAACATTTAAAATCTTTCCAACAGGGCTGGCAAGACGGCTCAACAGGGAAAGGAACTTCCTGCCAAGTTTAATTCCCAGGACCCACGCAGTAGGAGGAGAGAACCAACTCCCTCCAGTGCCGTTTTCTGAACTCCTCATGTGCAGCATGGCACCAGCGCGCATGTGCACAGATGCGCACAGACAGAGAGACAGACACACACACACACACACATAAAAAAATTTCTGAATAATCTTCCAAACAACTGTGGTGCCCTGTTAGAGTCTAGAATAAATTCAGCAGCCAGGGATCTGCCTGGTACAAAAGCAAGCAGACCAATAGCTTAGGCGCGTACGGCTGCCTCTCTCCTGGGGCTCCCACCAAGATGCCCGGACCTTCTCCACCGATTCTATAATCGCTTAACTCACTTCACTGAAATCCACCAAGCCTGGCCCGGGGGCTAACAACCCTAGTCACGACAGGAAGCTGTTTCCCACCCCCTCGGCCATCCTGCTGTCGCCCTCCACGGCCAGAAGGCTGCTGCTTACCCTTGACCCTTTCTTGGTCAGCAGACACACCAGCTTCATGTGGCCTGCAGCAGCTGCGTAGCAGAGTGCGTTCATTCCATTCTCCGACACCCCATCCAGGGAGGCGCCAAATTCCAGAAGCAGAGTGACAACTTCCTCGTGGCCAAGGTGAGACTGGACGCACAGGATGGGGGCGTTATTTAACACTTCCGTCCTGTAGTTCACGTTGGCCCCTCCCAAAATCAGGAGCCGGCTCACCTGTTGGACAACGCAACAGGATGAACATCTCATACATGTGTTCGTCTTAAAAACATCTGGGAAGAAGGGCAGTCTCTGCAATGTTTGCATTCTAACAGAGCTCAAGTTTGAAATGCGGCAGCGGCAAATATGTGCACACACACTACTGCACGTGCATGAGTGTGTTGAGTGTGTGTGCATACATGAGCATGTGCGTGTGTGTACAACGTGCGTCTTTACTGGTGGGAACTGCCCAAGTTCACCTAAATAATGGAAAACAGAACTGCAGTGTGATCAAGCAGAGCTACTTCTGGGGATATTTCCAAAATGACTGAAAGCAGAATCCTGAAGAAATGTGCACATCTACGTTCACGTCAACATTATTCACAAAGGCATGTAAGTAGCCCCGGGGTCCACCATCCGAAGGATGGAGAGAGATGTGCATGCCAACAGTGGAGAGATTCCGGCTTAGAAAGGAGTTATGGGGATGCTCCAGCAGAGACAAATACAAAATATGCTAAATAAGCAAAAGGAGAAAGGCCACATTATGATGCTATAAAGGATGTACCCAAAGTACTCAAATAGAGACACAAGCTGAGCATGGCTTCCAGGCCATGGACATGGGGGAAATCAGAGTGCTTAGTGGCTAAAGAGACCTACTAGGTGAAAAGTGTAGAGATTTACAACATTAAATGTGAAAGCTGACTTAAAAATGGTTAAGATGTTAAATTTTCTTCCTTTTTTCTTTTTTGCTTTACACAGGGTTTCTCTGTGTAACGGCCCTGGCTGTCCTGGAACTCACTCTGTAGACCAGGCTGTCCTCAAACTCACAGAGATCAGCCAGCCTGCCTTTAATCACAGACTGCTGGGATTAAAGGTGTGAGCCACCACTGCCCGGCAGATGTTATATTTCTATTATGGATTTTTAGTTCATCTCAAGTGAAAATAAATTTTTTGATGTGCACAGTACCCTCTCCTCCCTCATCCCCTGCACAACACCTCTTTTAAAAGATTTATTTATTTTGACTTCATGTGCATTAATATTTTGCCTGTATGAGTACCTGTGCCATCGTGTGCATGCCTAGTGTCCACAGAGTACAGAAGAGGGCATCAGATCCCCTATAACCAGAGTTAGGGATGGAATCATTATTAACAATGAGATAAAGCCCGAAGAAAACACGAATAGCCCCTTTTCTCGACAAGAACATGATCCTACAAGAAAAGAGAAAGCCCAGAAATGCCCCCGTGTCCTCAGGATCATCCCGACAGCATGTCCTCTGCTGCTCCCAGAGACTACTGCACACCACACCTGTCAGACGTCAGGGCAAGTTTCTGATCTACAATTATTAAAAATCACTGAACAGATGCAAATCTCTAACTATACTAATCTCCTTCAAATCTCCAGATTATGAGAAAAAAAAAAAACGATGCACTTTCACACCTAGTAAGATGGCTTATGCATCTCTTTAATTGGTCCCTTTTAACAACTCCAACCTGCACCCATCACTGCCCGTGCCAAGCCCTGGCAGGTCCTCAGGGCTGACCATCAGACTGAAAACCCAGAGACCACATCGTCTATTTGACTAGAAACATGTGTAGATCATTAAAAGTTACAGAAGGAGACGGGCATATCAAAATTCTGGGTAATTAGTAATGTGTCCGTGGAGTAACTGATAGAATATTTACAAACTGTAGGTTCAGGAGATTAATACTTCCAGAGGGGAAACCACAGCCTAGGGCGGCATCTCGACATGTTAGAACCTGAAGTATGAAATGTTAAGGCGTCTCCATGCTGCTGAACTCCACAGGACAGTGGTCCCCACTTTCTCTCTTACATTCTCTCCAGGGCCATGCCCTCACCGCAGGTCCTCCGGCTCCAGCAACACTAAACAGACCCTCTCATCACAGCCCTTGCCTTTTCAGTTCCACAGACAGCAAAGAGTGCTTCCCATGAGTCTCTACCTCAGCAACAGAACCCCAAAGTGAAGTCCCCACCCTGCTCCGGGCACACTCCTCTCAGGCATAGACTTCTGGCCCTCTCCGCCCCTCCACATGCTCTTGCATTCTTAGCTCCCTGCACTGGACACTGGTTCTAAACCGGAAGTGCACAGAGAAGAGATGCAGGAAAAGGATCCTCCGTAGTCGGGGATCGTACACACACAGGGTCTTTCTCATCACTGGGACCAATACCCATCCACAAAGAAAGGTAGGTCACACACTTGTCAGGAGGCCCCACCAGGTCATCTGGCCACCTGACCATCTGTCCGGCTGTTTATCCCATCAGAAGGACAATTATCATTGGGTAGTCAGACCCAGGTCCACACCAACCCAGCCTCCCAGTCAGTGAGCCCTTAGAGGTGTGTGTGTGTGTGTGTGTGTGTGTGTGTGTGTGTGTGTGTGTGTGTGTGTGTGTGTGTAAAACACAAGGAAAAGACACTCAGAAATGTGAGAATCTAGCAAATAAGTTGACTGATTCCTACAACAGTTAAACAGGTTCGATATCCCTAAAACACCACCTGACTCAAATACAATTCAAGGGTATTTTAAAACTGTTAAGTTTAAATAAAAGCAAAAATGAAAAAAAAAGTCCTTCTGAATAACTGTGATCAGTATGGAAAAACCAGCATTAAACTGAAGAGCTACTTGGGGTTTTATAGAGGCCTCAGAAATCAGAAATCTGGAACAAGACGCAGGGACATAAATACAGACTGCTGAGGCCTACCACAGGACAGGCAGGAATGATGACTTTGCTGGCCAACAACCACGTTCCCATCAGCCCCACCCTTTCCTGAGACACACGAGCCTGAGGGAGAAAGGTGATTGGGTAAGTGGTCTGAATTAAGTGACTCAAAATGTTCTTCACGTTTTCAGGGTTCCAGGTTCCTCTAGGGAATGAACAGTGTCACCCCATTCGGCTCAGCATGGTCCCTTTGCCAACCCTGGTGCAGGAGTGCATGCAGCCCTGTGATGCAGACCTGCCAAGACTCCCCCGCCAACCCCCCGCCCCCCGCCCCAAGACAGGGTTTCTTTGTGTAGCTTTGGTACCTATCCTGGATCTTGCTCTGTAGACCAGGCTGGCCTCGAACTCACAGAGATCCGCCTGGCTCTGCCTCCCGAGTGCTGGGATTAAAGGTGTGCACCACCACCGCCCGGCCTGACAAGACTCTTGGAGGGTATGTGTTCAGGGGCAGAGGCTTTCTCACCCATTCACACTTCATCAGCTTTGCTGAAACACATTGCTTTTTTGCTGCATTGCTGTGTGTATTTTTAACCACTTAAAACCCCACCAGTCTGTAGTTCTTCACCCATCGTTCTTAACCATGTGGAAGTCACCCAGAGCTTCAAAATTCCAGTGCCTGGACCCTAGGCTGGAGATTCTGACTTTACTGGGGCTGGACTTGGCAAGCAGGGCTGTAAACACATCAGGTGACAGATGCACCTGCAGACACACTGTGGTAGACTGATAATCAGGTGTCCTTCCATCCTTCTGCACCCCAAACCTCTGCTCCCAGCTGAAAAATGGGAACAAAAGCACCCATTCCCTAGGTGGCTGCAAAGATTAAAAGTGAATGCCAAAAATAACAACACCTTCCCCCAGGGAGAGAGGGAATCACAGGAAGGAGGGTGAGCAGAGTTGGGGGGGGGGGAAGAGAGAGAGACTGACTTAGCACTACACTCAGTATTTCAAAAGTACTAAATAAATATTAGCAGCTTCTGTTACCATCACCTTGTCCTGTCTTCAGAGTGAGGTCCCTGGAGGCCCATCTCCTGCCCACCTAGACGAGCCACAGCACAGAAGAGCAGGATGGAGGGCCTTACATGAGTCACAGCCACCATCTCAAAGTTCCCAGGTGCCCAAAGGCCTGGTGCTGTCACAGTTTCCAGAGCCACAGGGAGCAGCAATAAAAACAGCTCACCTGGGCACACAGAACATGCCAGGCACTTTCCCAAGAGCGTTCCCTGCCAGCTTGCTCATCACTGGGAGGTGGTGTTTTGCCGGCTCCATTTCGGAGGTGAGGACTCAGGGGCTGGGAGTGGGTAGGGCAAAGGTAGCTCAGGGCACAAAGCTAATTGCTGCCACAGAGCGTTCTTGCCCATCTGCAGGAGCTCTCTTTAGCTCACACTTGAAAGTGGCAATACCACCTAGCAACGTAGAGAAAGACAGAAGGGTCATGCAGCGCCACTGACCACAGGGGCCCTGGAGAAGTGCCAACCAGCTCATAGGAGAGGCTTCCAGAAGCGGGGGCCATTCTGTGTCCTGCTAGATTGTCATGCAGAGTGCAACTGACTGCCTGAGCCCAGCCAAGCCCCTGCCTCTTTCCCGGGCTTCTCTCCTTTCAGCAAAGCATCAGCAGCCAAATGCTCGACATGCGGGGGCTGGCACCAGCCAAAAGACAACATTGGAGCAAAGAAGCGGCTGGGCAGGACCGCAGTGGGCCATGCGGGGACAGGCTGGCATGACCCCGGCCCAGTAACGGAGGCCACAGGGCTAGCAATCAGCAGCACACTCCCAAAATTACCAAGCGCTCCTTTCAGAGCAAGTCATTTGAATTTGCCAAAGTGGCAAACTGCAATTATTTTCAAAATGACATTCATTCCTGTATGACAACAGTTAATACTCTCTAAAAACAGTTCCTTAATTGCATGCATAATTTTAAATTACTGTAATTTGTTCAATATTCTGTGAAAACCCTGTTCTCCCTCATCAAAGACAAAACAGGAAGATAATGGAAGGACTTAAGATTCCAGAGACAAGTTACATGAATTTGGGGATGGTACAGAGGTAGGTACCATGGGAATTTTAGAAAACAAAGTCCAAACGAACAAAGCCAACTCGCCAGTACCTTAAGAGGAAGGCGGATAGATAGCCTGGAGAGCGAAGCCTCGCAATCTGCTGTCTTTAAAACCCACGTTCAGGAGAGTTTGACATTTACCATTCATTCCTCGCCACACTTACAGCCTATTGCAGTTAATATCTATGCCCATACATTTGTTAAAGTAGCGTGAACAGATACTGCCAGCTGACTCCTCCTTTTCTTCTTTTATAATTTATTAATTCTATGGAGAAGTCAAAAGCTGTGATGCTACAGTCAGAAAGATGACCAATGTGATAGTAACCTAAACTCAAATTTTTATAAACTCTAAGTGGAAAAAAATTCACAACACAGCGATCTTTCTGTGACAGCTAAATTTAGAGCTATCCACTTTTGGAAAAACTCCATCTGGAAAGCCAGCGTTACCTGGGACAAGGGACAGCAGTATGGACTGCTTCCCCTGCATTACAGAACCGGCTTCCTGCCCACCCACTTGTGAAAACCTGCATGCAAGGCTCAGTCAGGACAAAAGCACTGAAAGCTAGGGGGAGAGGGGTCCGCAGGGGGTCCCCAGCAGCATGATTCTACTTCAGTGTGAAGGTCCCCAGAAAGGGGTGAGTCAAGCCGAAGACCTACAGCGGGGAGTGAGGATGTCACTGGGACACAGGTGGCATTTTTCATCGTTGCAAACACTGTCTGTATCCACACTCTGCTCTACACCAAGGTCCTACACTGGCCAGCAGGGCCCTGGTCATCTCCACAGGCTCAGCCACAGCTAGATCCTCCCTGACACCCACAGTCCTCGGCATGGGATAACCTCATTCTTCAACAGGGACAGGAAGGAAGAAGGCAGAGCCCCTCGAACCAATGGGAAGGCTCCACAGTGCGGACTCCAGAGCCACGGCCAAGGGAAGTAGTCTGAGGGTACAGTGAGGGAGGTGGGGAGACCAGGTACTAAAGGGCCCGGGAGTGCTCCCCACGTCTCCATTTCTGAGGTGAAGGGGATGCCAGGTGCCTGAAAACTGAGTCAGGCCTTGCTTCCTCTTTCACCGACGGCCAGGTTGGGTTTCCTTTGGCTTTACTAAGATGGCGCAGGTGCAATTATCACTTCGTAGTGACTCAGAGTGAAGACTCAGTCCACTGGGAAGGAACCCCGGAGTCTGAGCAGCAAGACATGTCAGGACCTGGGGCTGGACTCTTCTGTGTGGCCTTAACCAGAGAGCCGGACTAAGGCATGATTTTGATTCTAAGACTGTGTTATAGAATCTGCACATGGGGGAGGAAAATCTATCTGCAAAATTACAGCAAGAACAGCATGATGGGAAAGCCACTGACCACAGAGCAAAAACGTTCTCAGCTCAGTGTACACCCAACCTACTACTCTTCCCATTGCCAGAAGGGTGTGCGTCCCTGAAACCTGCAGGCAGCTTCCTGTGGCCCACTGTTTTGTGTCATCCAATGCTTAGTTTTGTACGACCCATGAAGAGCTGGGTTGCTACAGTAGTTCGGGACACTCAAGATTCAGTTTCCCTGCCAAGCTCTCTGACCTTTGCTTCCCTTTGTGAACCACCTCCTGACCACATCCTCTCTGAAATGGTCACTGTGTGCCAACACAGTGGCTCCATCTACCCTATCTCCCTCTAGGGAGAAGGCTGTGATGAGCATGTATGTGGGGGAGACATCACCAGGAGCTCCCCTGCCCTCCCTGGAGCCTCAGCTGGCAGGACTGGTAGAGGAGGAAATGGCCAGGCTCCCCTGCAGAAAGCGGCTCACCTTCACATTGGGAGTATAGAGATTCCTGAGAGAGGCCAGGGCAGCAGACAGCCCCTCCGTGCTGTAGCCGATCCACAGAGCCTGCAGATGGCTTGACGAGACGCCAGTCTTCTTACTGAGGCCCTGGAAAGAACCAAAGAGACGCCTGTGAGTGCCTCCTCCCAGCTGCCCATCAGTTTGAAAGAGAGTCTGCCCAACAGAGGTGTGCTGTGCAGTGTCTTATACAAAAGAACCCCTTGGCCGGGGAGCACAGCTCAGGGCCCTGTGAACGATATGCACAGCAGAGAGAGAGAGAGAGAGACTCGGAGCAAGCTTCCTTCTGCAGAAGGAGATCAGAAGATAGTAAGTGATAAAGGATCCATGACTCCTAATGAATAAAGGGGTCTAGGCAGTAAAGGCTGGTGGCATTATTTATTTATTTTGTTTTGGTTTTCCGAGACCAGGTTTCTCTGTGTAGCTTTGTGCCTTTCCTGGAACTCACTCTGTAGTCCAGGCTGGCCTCGAACTCACAGAGATCCGCCTGGCTCTGCCTCCCAAGTGCTGGGATTAAAGGCGTGTGCCACCATGGCTTGGCGCTGGTGGCATTATAAGAAGAGGCAAGCTCAGTGCTGTGTCTCCCCATAGAGAATATTCTCACCACTGGATCTTGGTACTTAGCAAGGAAACAAAACTTCAGACCTGATCACGGCTCTAGACAGACCTGACTAGACAGGAAATCCAGGGGGAAGAGGTACACAGCAAACTTCCCTTTGGGAAGCAAGCAGGGTCAGAGAACCAGGCGGTATGAAATGATACAGGCCATGGAACTCAAGTTCTTCGATTAGTAATGACACACCAGGGAATGAACGAAGGGCCCACAGGCCTGCCTAAAATCTTCAGGCCACAGAATTCACTCACACCTCACCTTGAAAATGTGTGCCTTCAGGATGTGGTGGCCAAGCTCCATGGTCTGCTGGCGGTTCAGCTTGCTTTCCTGTCGAGAGAACATGAACGCCAGCAGAGCGTGTCCATTCCTAGGGCAAGAAATCCAAAGGCTCATGACAAAATCCCATCACACCACAGGCCCTCAGATGAGGACACCACACTGTCTCTGAACTGTCATCCGTGGGCATCAGCATGAGTACATGGAACATTCATGCTGCCCGCTATTTACAAAGACGGCAATTGATGTTTATTCTGCAGTCATTTGTAAGGTTTTTCCTGGGGTTCCCTATCTCTGTAGAGTGAGCACCTTGGTGCCTGGATCTCCAGAACCACCACTGCCTGCTCATCACCACCACTCCCCCATCACCTGGAGTTTTGGTCAAGCTTGTCACAAAAAACGCAAACTTCACGACACCAAGGGTCTTGACTAAGTCACAGCTGTAGTCACAATGCCTAACACGGTGCCTAATGGTAAGTACACAAGCAAGTGCTTACTGGATGGACGAACATGAGGACTGGTGGTACATAATCCTCACTGCCCTCAGCCCCCACCCCATCCCCATCATCATTCTGGGGCACAACTGGCAAAAGACAGGCCTGGCCTTACAAGGGGAAGGGGAGAAAAGCCAGGCCCCGCATAGCAATAGCTCTTGAGGAGCAGAGCCTAGAAGACTAGGTGGAACCCACGCGCTTCAGACTCACACAGACCTGCCTGCCTTTGCCTCCTGAGTACAGGGTAAAGGCGTGTGTCCACACCCAGTTTGTAAGAGGCTGCAAAATCAGCAGGTTTCTAAACACTGGTAACAAACTTTCTGAGAAAGAAATCCATTCATGGTAAGGAGGTGAGAGACCTCTGCAGTGAAAATTAAAAACCACTGAAGAAACTGAAGCCACTAGAAAATGGGATCTCCTAGGTTCTTAGATGGGCAATAATATACCACTGTTTAAATGGCCAGATTATGGAAAGTCATCTATAGAGTTAATCCCTACCAACACCAATGACATCCTGACACTACTAGAGAAAGTTCCTGTGGAAGTGCAGAGAGCTGGGAGATCCCAATGCAATCCTGAGTAAAAAGAGCAACACTGCAGGCACAATATGGGATTGGAAAATACATTAGAGAACCATAGTAACAAAAACCACGATGACAGACAGTGGAATAAAAATACCAACTACTTGCCAGGCGGTGGTGGCGCACACCTTTAATCCCAGCACTCGGGAGGCAGAGGCAGGCGGATCTCTGTGAGTTCGAGGCCAGCCTGGTCTACAGAGGCCCTAGAAATAAACACTTGTGACTACAGCCACCTGATTTTCCACAAGGTACCCAAAATACATGCTCAAGAAAAGGCAGATTCTTTAGCAAACGATGATGGGAAAACATCCACATGTTAAGAAATGAGAACATAGGTGCATCTCTGACCCCCGCACGAAAGTTAATGAAAATGGACCAGAGACCAACGTAAGATCTGACATGTGAAACTACTAAGAAAAACACTTCAAGAGACAGACACAGGCAATGACTCTCTGAATCAGAGTCCACTGTCTCAGGAAACAGCAACAGGCAGTCACAAACAGGACTGGGCGGAAAAGAGTCGGTGCTGTGAAGGAAATAGTCCACAGTGGGAACAGACAGCCCGCAGCACAGGATCTCGGCCAGCTACTCATCCAAGAGAAAATTAACATCCAGAACAAATCAAGATCTCAAAAAACGCTCACTGCAAAAGAACAAGGATTCCAATCAGCAAATGCTGATTGGGTTGAGAAGTGTGAATGCACACTTCTCAAAAGAAGTATAAGCAGCCAAACAGTTTCAAAAACAGGTTCATTTTTTAGCCACTAGAGAAATTCAAATAAAAATATACCGAGACTCTATCTCATGTCAGTTAAAACAGCTAACATCAAGGAAACACAGCTGATAATAAGGCTTGCTTGGGATAATGCTTGCCTAGGATGCATGAAAATCCCGGGTTCAATCCCCAGCAATGCAGAAGGGGTGGAGCATTGCACATCTGTAATCCTGGTACTTAGATGGTTAAGGGGGATCTGAAATCAAGGGTATTCTTGGTGTATAATGCATTCAAGGCCTGCTGCTGACCTAGGATAGACGAGACCCTGTCTCAAACAAAACAGCAATAATAAAATAAATGCTGGCCAAGAGAAGAACCCTTACACACTTTTGAGGAGAAGGAAAGCAGTATGTTCCTCTAAAAAACACAATCACTCCTCTGTGTGTACCTTTGGGAATCAAAGTCAGCATACAATGGATAAACATGCATTTACCACCACGCCTTTCATAATAGCTAAGTTATGGCATCAGCCTATATAAGCTGCTAGCTAACTCAAGAACGAAGATGCATGGTGGGCAATATATACAGTGGAGCAGTGCCCAGCCACAGAGGAGAATGAAATCATGTAATCTATAGGGAAGCGGATGGAACTGGAGCTCACTGTGTTAAGTGAAATAAGCCTGACTCAGAAGGACAAGTGTGTTATATTTTCTGTCACATGTGGAGTCTAGAAGAAAACAGAGGCAGAAGGGGGAAAGGGAGGGTGAGACTGGGTAGTGGGAGGGCTGCCTATGATCAAAATGTGTTAAATGCACGTAAGAAAGCATACAATGAAACCAATACTCTGTATAATCAATGTATGCTAAAACTTGTAAATTACACAGTTACAGATGGCCCCGGTGTGGCTACAAGGGCAGACTTCAGTGGCCAGCCCAAGGGTTTTCGGGGCTCTCAGCAAAGCCCATGGCTTCCCACCTGTCTGCAGTCTGGTCACTCATTCTGTTTCTGTGCACCCCCATGCTACCCTCCTATGGCTGGCCTTCCCCAGTCGTTCACGCTCCATGGGCTCCACTTTAGATCCGGAAACAGAACTGAGCTATTTCCTTTACCCACATGACCTTGTGAGTCACTTGCGTTATAACGCCCTATCTGTTTACGCGAGGCAGTGGCCTGATTTGCCCAAGACCTAATGGCTAGTAATTGAGTGGACATTCTACCAGACTCAAGAGCTTCAACTTGGGGAGAACAATACTGTGTACCTCCCTTCAGGAGCTCTCAGCAACTGGAGGAGACACATATAACTGTAATGAAATTCAGCCAGAAAAGCAAAGAAGAGATACTGTGGAAGGAGGTGGGAAGCAGCCCTAAAGAAACAATCTGACTTTGCATTCCGGTTCCCCTTCCCCGTGGATTACACTGTCTCAGTGGTGTTCCCAACAAGACCTCAGTTTCCTGCATTACTAAAACCAAACTGCTCTGTGCCTCCTTGCAACCCAGTGGAAGGCATCTCCAAGGATGCAGAATTCTGTTCTAATAGGCTCCTCCAAATCCTCACTTCCCTTAACCTCTGCTGGGAACGCTAACCTTCCCTGCAACTCTCCTCCACCTCCAGAAGCCCAGAATGCTTCTCTCTCTCCGTGTCAAGCACCCTCACCAAGTCACACCACAGCCGCCATTAGTGATGTTCAATCTTCAACTACTAACTTCTCCAGTGGCCACACAAGATCTGCCCCCCTGGAGAGAGGTTCCCCACAGGCTCAAATTGTTCGAAATCAAAGCCATCTCGGATCTGAGAAGACCTGATCCATTGCTCACACCTGTCTACCCCCTTCTCCCTCAGCTGGCACAGTAGCCACCATACTCTCTGCCCCCCCACTCTGCCCACAGACACTCTATCCTCCAGAGATGGCACAAAGAGGCCATCTCTAGCATATTCCTCTGCTGGCTCCTCCCAGTCCTCCACACCACAAGAGCTCCAGGCAAATAGATTGCTTTCCACCAGCACGTATGTGCGTGCGTGCGTGCATGCGTGTGTGCCCTGTGCTGTTTCTGAGGCTCCCCTGTCTACAGGAGTGTCTTCTTCTGATAGCATCCTGTATCCCTTTGTTCCTCAGGCCAATCACATGGAGAAAATAGCAGAGATGGTTCTAGATCGTGAGTCCTTGTGAAAGGTTAACGAGCCGATGAATCCAGGCTATGGCTGGGGGAGTCTAGCATCACACAGAGATTTCAAGTTGTATCTCTCCTTTGAGAAGTGTTAACCACAACCTTCGAGGTTTCTTTGCAAAATGAAAATAAAAACAGAAAACACAAGAACAAAAAGAACAAAGCAAAAGGCAGGACAGTCCTTGACTTCAAAATTTCCTACCAAAATGTACGCTAGGTATCAGAACATCGTGGTAATGGCGTACAACCACACACTCTAGAACACAACAGAGACTCTGGAAGTGAATTCACCTTCTTACACCCAACTGATTTTCAACAAAGGTCATACTAACATGCCCCAAGGAAAGGACTCTTTTCAGTTAAGCAGGAGAGTAAAACTGAACAGATCTCTCACCACTTAAAACAATGGCTCAAAAGTAAAGACTTAAACATAAGACTAAGAAGTATGGGCTAGAAGGAAAATAGGAAATACTTCAAGCCGTTAGCATGGACAGGACTGTCCTGAAGACGACCTCGGACGCACCGGAAACAAAAGCAAGGCAAGTAAGGTGGATTTAACCACAATGGTGCAGGGACAGCCTACAAAACGGGAAAGGATTTGCAAACGCCTCTGACAAGGGGTTGGTTGCCAGCCTCAGGTCCCGGTGACCGCTGTCTGCCTGTGGTTTCTGTTCCTGCAGCAGCTGCCATACTCGGCTCTGCCCTGTGCTGGACTGCCACGGTTCAAAATGCAGCAAGGGTCAACAATGACCACAGCCCAGCTACTCCCTCCTCTGACACCAGCAGTCTACATCCCGTGAGTCTCCTGATGCGCCTCTGTCTCTACAAAGTCAACTGCATCTGATCTTCCTCAAAAAATGTGCTTTCCCTGAAAATCCCTAACTTGGTGAGCGATGTCACAGCACACTCTGGTAACTTGGTTTTGGTAGCCAACCTGGGGTCCTAAACCAGGTTTGAAAGAGAGTAAAACCTGAGTCCAGCATCACCTAAGAAAACAGCCATAGCACTGAGCAGCACTAGACCTATCGGCATACACCAGGAGGGTTGTGGTTATGTGACTCCAAGGTACTCGCTGGCCTCTTCATTTCGAGGCCCAGGCATCCAACCCAGTGCCCAGTAGCTCTGAGGAGACAATCCAGCAGCTTGCCAGCCTGTCACTAGAGTAGGAGGCGATCCTGACTCAGAGAACAGCTGCCCAAGAATGCAAAGACAGAAATGCTGGACAGAAAGAGGGCTTGAGAGTGGCCGTGTCCAAAGGCCCTTGGAGTCTTCCGTTCCTGACCTCTCAGCCTGTTTTGCACTAGGTGATGGCTGGTAAGCAGGCAGGCAGAGGTAGGCAGGCAGGAGAGCAGGCAGGAGGGCAGGCAGGCAGGCAGGCAGGCAAGCTTGTCTCCCCAGCCTCCCGTGGTTTGAGTTCTGCAAGAACTGCATCCCGCGCTGGCCTTGTCTGTAGGGGACAGCTAAGTTGGATTATAGGGCACCCTCTGTCCCCCACACTTGTGCTCCCTGGGATGAGGTACTATAGAGCCAAGGGTGGTCAGACAATGGCAAAGGATCCAGGACGGACCCCGGCCACGGGCAAACATTCTCCATGAGCTCGCTGTTCCCTAAAGCAGAGACACACTTCCCGTGTATGACCTGCCATGCCGGTGGGTGGAGTCACACTTAGCAGCTAGGAAATGCCACCCTGGCACCGCTCAGCTTCCCCTGCACCCAGATACACTAGAAACCCAGCAACCAAAGGAGGGAAGCTTTTGTAAAAAGGTATGAAATTTTTTTTTCACTCTCTCCTGACCAAAACGGGGACGCAAACAGCAAAACCGCACGGTACTCGGTACTCCAATTCCTCTGGGCGCCAACGGCAGCGCCTCCCGTACCTGGGCTCACACAGGAAGGCTGTGCTCTCGCCATCCGCTCTCCACACCAGCCACTCCCGGAAGGACGGGTGGCAGAACATCCGTGTTTTGTCTCTCCTCTTAATGAGGAAGCAGGAGAGGGCCTCCATCCTCTGCTGGAAGTCCTCCCAGCCCTGCTCGCCTTGGATGTGGCCGGCATTGATCGCCTGGAATATCTGCTCATCCGTCATGGGGTGGAGGGACGCCAGGGCCACGTTCAAAATGGGGAGGGCCCTGTCGAAGGCGGACTGGGTCATGAACTTCATGTTGCACTGAAGCAGGTAGAGCTCGGAGAGAGACACGGGCACCACCTTGTAGCTGGCGCTCTTGATGACCAGGTGTCCCCGCTGGAAGAGGTCCAGCGTGAGCTTGAGGTACAAGTAGGAACCGAGGCTGCGCAGCACCAGGTGGCTGCTGACTTTGCCGATGAGGGCGGCGTCGGCCTTGCCATTCAGGGAGATGTTGCTGAGGATGTCCTGGCTGCTCTGGACCCTGTGCTGGACATAGGCGTGCAGGTCGCTGTGAATGTCTTTGTTGTCCGGAAAGTCATCTAAGGAAAGCCTGACAAAGGGCAGTGCGCTGATGATTTCCTGGGAGAAAACAAAAGCCCACAGTGTCACCTCACAGAGCTTCCTTTTTCCCGCTTTAAACCAGGTTCGCTCGTTCTCTTTCAAGGAGGATTTTCGTGGATTAGAGGGACTCGTTGTTTTGTATTAAAACATGTAATAGGATAAGGTACAGATAAAAAAGCTTATGTGAAAGAAATCCTGATGCGAGATAGGATCGGCAAAGGCTTTCCCAAAGCCCTCATCGAGGACTCTGAGCCAAAGGAGCAGAGAGAGGGGCCCAAGTAGACAGCAGCAATCAGGCCACTCCAACAGGGGGGCAGCAGGGCGGCGAGACCCCGCGGGTGACCCAATACCCATAATCCCCGAGCGGCTGGCTCTAAAACAAGGGTAAACACAAACCACACTGCATGTCTATGAACACAGCCAGACTCTGGGATAAGAGGTACCCTCTTGGCATCAGATACCAGGGCTCTGTAACCCCACCAGGAAACATGACACTTCCGGTCCCACCTGTGTCCCCGGACAATGCACAACAAAAACCATTGCCTCTCCCAGTATGGCATGTTCTCATTTTTAAAGGATTTTAAGTAGATATTCTTTCAAAAAATTATTTTATAAACGTGAGTGTTTTGTCTGCATGTCCCCAGTACCTACGGCAAGGGTGTTGGATGCCTGGAATTAGTCAGGAGAGCTGTGGGCCACCATGCGGGTGCTGGGAGTCAAACCTGTGTCTTCTGAAAAGATTAGCCCGTGCTCTTAATCACCAAGCCATCTCTCCAGCCCCCGAGTGAACTGTTGGATGAATCCTAACTGCATGGTGTCATTAATTTTCCCGCTCTCTCATTTCAAACGGAAGCATAGCCCTAACCCCAAGAGCAGAGAGAAGAAAAATTCTAACTTCTCACTATTACTTCTGAAGCATGTGCTTTAAATGAAGTAACTACAAGAAGAAGGTAGAGGACAGTTTTTCCACTCTGCATGGAAGTTAACCAAGCCTCCGCACTCGGCCAGCAAAGGAACACAGGACCCAGGTCCAGTTTTAGCCTAGCTGCCCAATTATGCCTACTCAGGGAAACATGACTGAAAATGTACGGCTCAAAGGTGCATACAATTAAGCATGCCATTTAAATATAGGTTTAATTTCAGCTTTAATGAGAAAGAAAATTAGCATGATCACCCAGATCTACAAACTAAAACAAAGCATACCCACAATGAGCCGCCACAAAGGCCAGGAAACACTTTTAAAGTCCAGTACATCACGTGGCCGGGGACCTCAGCCAGTACACACCCCACTATGGTGAGCCAGGCTTAGACATGGGCGTTTCAGGACAGGGACAACTCACTGCTGATAGGATTCTTAGCTGACCCCTGAGAATCCTTGTTCTTACGGGACTCTCTGAAGTCTTGACATGGTTTTCAACTCAGTAGGTAAATGGGCTATAACACTAGGCCGGGATCACTTGGGATGTGGGAACTTGGAAAGAGAGGGGAGAAATCTTTTGTCACCTGAAAATTTGCTCTCACAGTCACGATCAACTTCAGCCAGGTGGGGAATTTAGGAATAATTTTCGTAATAAATGAAGACAGCGTATCTCCGTAATCAGGCTTATGAAACTCCGCTTCATTCAAGCCATCGATCAAAATGATGTACTCCTCTTCTGGAATTTTCTGCTCTAAAAGATGAAATTAATTTTTCCAAATTAAGAAATTATACATTTCTATAACATGGCACCACCCAGTGCATTTTAACACACAGCCCAAAGTGTTAGCAAAACCTACAAAGGTTTACATATGGCAGAAGACATGTTTTCAAAGAAGCATATTGTCTATTAAATTTGTAATGAAAAAACAGAGGACTGAGCCAAAAGAAAACCAAAGTCTTACAAAACAGTTTTTGGAAACATATTGCATTACAGACATTAGCGGAATCTCAATCATACACATGTAACAGCTAGTTCTGCGTAAGTCACCATCACCTGAGTAGCTTGCAGCCAAGAGAACTGACGTACCTAGAGCCTAAACCCGGAGCAGACACCAGGCCCTCGACTGGACTTCCTCAGTGGACTTCCTCAGGAATGAGGGCCCAGCCCTCCCCACACTGCCACCAGGGGCCATCTGGCCCGAATCACTCAGTGGTGACAGCCCAGCTTTACAGATGCCCCGAGTGGGTCCTGCACACAGCTGGGACAGCCTTCTGCTCGGAGCACAGAGCAAGCATGACACCACCATCTCAGGCCCCCTTTCTAGCATCTTCTAGCAGAAGACACTTTGTAGATGGGTGACCAGGAAAGGAGGGGGCAGAGGATGGAAACCTTAAAGACCAATGTCATTGGTACGCCCACCTAGAGACTATTCAGGGGCAAGGGGGTAAAGGAAGAAACAAATGGAAATGCCTAGAAACAGTATTAGATTTAGATTTTAATTCATCTGAGCAGGGGCTGGGGGGAAGAAAGGAGAACATGCTAGAGGATTCTCAACCATCTGCTGGTTCCCCTGCTGCCTGGGAGTGTGTCACCTAGTCTTTAGTGTGTGCATCACCTACATAGATTACAGTTATTAACCAGAATGTGCCTCCTGGAAATGTGAAGGGCTGTGAGGGTCAACAATGAAGACGTAAGTTCAGACAGCCCCCTGCCCGGCCTTTTAGCTTACAGACGGGAGACAACTTCCTACCAGGAAAAGGGAAGAGTGCAGTATCCCAGCGGCTGGAGAACTGGACAAGTCTAGGTTTCAAAGCTTACTAACTACTTGTAATTAGCATTAATCGTCCCATATATTTATCTTCCTAGCTTCCGGCCTCTGAAAGCCCAAGCTGTTTCCTGTTCTGTTTTGACTTCTTACCACTCCTAAAAGTCACTGCTCTTTGTGGAAGACCCTTCGGGAGGGGGAGTTTTAAAGCCCCGCTCTCAGTTACCATCCACGTCCACGCACTGCAGGCATTAACAAGCTCTCTTTGGCTTTGTTATCTGTCTACCCTTGGCTCATTTCATGGACCAAGTGTCACACCTCTGAAGGGCAGAAAGCCTCCTCTTTCCTCCATTACATGGCTTCCTTAGAACTGCTCAGGTGTCAATGTCTTCCACATCAGAGACATCCCATCGGGGACAATACCACGGAGGAGATACGTGGTGGCCCCCGATGTGTACTGACTCACCGATATCCTCTCCCCGCCACCCCAGGACTAAGCTGACCTCCCTCTTCTGAGGACCACTTGGGCATCAGTCTGTACTGGGAAGCAGCCCCGGGACTTCCGGTAGGTACCGTTTCTTAGGCTGGTAAGTGGCTCCAGCACGCCCCTCTTGAAGGCAGCCACGGGGTCCTGCACACACGAGCGGAGGCTCAGCATGCTCTGCAGCTGGGGCTCCTTGATCAGAAGGTCTCTGTAGGCGGCCAGCTGGTGGGACCGGCACAGCAGGGCTGCAACGCTGTGCACAAACTCGGGCACCAGGCACGTGTACGTGTTGTCAGCCTGGCAATAATGATAGGCCACCACCTACGGAGAAGCAGAGACATCAGCATCATCCCACCCCCGCCACAGCTCCCCTCCCAGGACTTCTATCAAGAACAGAACTCTGACGTTTCCCCCGAGATAAGACACTGTGCGTCTGTTCCCCGAGACGGGGTTCACCAACTAGCTTAATATTTATTCCTGTTCTTCACTGGCGTGATTTGCTAAGTTCTCAGCAGACCATTAACTGCAGCCACAAATCCACCTTGATTAACACAAAAATCAGCACAACTGTTCTCTGTATTGAATGTGGATTAGCAAAAGGCATTTGTAAAACCTAACGCCTCCTGGTCTGGCTTAGAGCACCTCCAAGCAAGCCCTGTTCCCAACACCGCCATCTGCGCCGCATTTCTGTTCTCTAGATCAGTAGCACCT